TAATATATGATTTTTTTGAAATAAACATATATATAATTAATCACATTATTAAAACATTATTAATTATTTGTACAATTAATTAATTAAGTAATTAGATGCATGTATCTTTTTATTATTTTGATTAATTTAATTATATATATACATTGTATATATGTATAGATATTTAAGTAATATATCATTAATATATACATTGTATGTCATTCTTAAAAATTTTCAGTTTAGTAATTTTAAATTATGTATTTAACTAATATAATTAGATGTATCCAAAAATTAATATGATTCAGTTAATATAAATATATTATTGTTATATCATTAATTTAATTATTTTTGTGTGCCATTTTAATTAATAAATTATAAATGATGTTATTTTTAATTATCACATGTTTAATAACTATTTTAATAAATTAATTTAGTTTATAATATTTTAATTTACATTTCTAAAATTTATTCAAATATATTATTGTTAATATATACATTTATATGATAATAACAAAAAATTGGAATATCTAAAAATGGGGGAAAAAAAAAATAAACACCCTGCTTTAAACGATTCGTTTTGGGAAGAATTCAGATGATTTTCCCTCCCAGTTACAGGCGCCCGAGAAAGGGATCTATGAACGCGTGAGCTCACGCGTAAACTGCAATTTAGAAACCCTCTCGATAAAAACCAGATAACGACGCGTAGTTTCTTGTCTGAATCCCAAATCCCAAATCCGGACAAGAAATATCAAACTCTCTCAGTAGTTGAAGAAGCTTCCATGTCGAACCCACTCGCGGCTTCCGGTAACGGCGATGAAAGCTCCGGCAGCGATAAGGATTTGTCCGTTGCCAAGACTGCAGGGTTCGTGGTGTTCTCGGGCATTGCAGTGAGCATTCTTAAAACCCTAAACCCTTTCAGTAAAGACAGAAATCAAACTACTCCGTTAGTCAGTGAGTCGACTCGGCCGATTCCAGATATCTCATCTCCGCTTCCTCCAGAGCCTATCATCGCCAAGGTACATCCATACATACGTACATAAACCTCTCCCAATCCGAGGTTTTCATTTGTTACTTCTCCCTGATCTGGCGTCATATATGTTCTTCTTTTTCACACACTGTAGAAATCGAGTAACTGTTTGGAGCCAAATGCGGGAGCGTCGTCTGGGAGGACAGTAGAGATTGTGAAAGGAGATACGCTTTGGGGTCTGTCGAGAAAATACGAGGTACGGATTCGAATCTTTTTTACCAATTTCATGTGTGTGATTGATCAGAGGAAAAAGGAAAATGAATGAGCGGAAAGAAGAGTGCATTTTGGTGATAATGTTGATGTGATTTTAGGTTTCGATTGATGCAATCAAGGAAGCTAATGGACTTACAGGGGACACCATTTATGCCGGAAAGAAGCTCATAATTCCATTTCCGTAAGTGATGGATGAAGAAAGTGGGATGTAATTTTGGTGTATGACAATGTCTCCTTAATCTTAAGCATTTTCAGGTTAATTCTTCATTTCTGGTTTTCAAATTTCACTTTGCTTCAACCATTGTATATATTTCACGAATAAAATTTATTTGTC